TCCACATTATATAAAATTATTGGTAGCAAAAATAATAATAAAAGGAGTATTGTACTTTAATGTTCTTGTCCTCCCTTACTGCTCATAATCCATGTGATACTTACTTTCACCTAGACAACAGAATGAGGCAGGTATTATAACTGCATTTTGCAGATAAGTAAACTGAAGTCCAGAGAAGTTGAGCAACTAGCTTAAGGTCACGCTGCTATTAAATGGCAGATTCAAGACATGAATGCAGTAGGTCTAACTCCAATGTCTATGCTTATTTGTAAGGTATCTAGGATGGTGGTAACCAGAGTAGGCATCAATAAACACTAGCTTCTTTTCCCTGCAAAAGCTCTTTCACTTCTATAATGTTATGATTTACATGGTTCTTTCCTAAAGTGAGTGGAGTGGGATTATAATAATGATAGGCTCCATTTGCCACAATTGGGGCCCTGAGAAAGAGTTGGCCCCCACGATTCTACTGGGAGTAGGAGCTGAGCTTAATCCTTTTAAATAGGATTTGTAATTTCTTGTTTTGACCAGACAAGTTGTGCAAAATTATTTTGTATTTCAGGGACCAGAATAATTTTATCTAGCCTCTATTTGTCATAGAGTAAATAACAAGAGAGAGAAGGTAAAGGGCATCCCATTACTCACATAACCCTGGGGATATTCCATTCATAACTTCATATCCAGTCATATACTATTTTCTACATGGTTTGCTCAAGAAATGTTCTTATTGTCTTTTTATTACAGTCAGCAGTTTTATGTATCAGATATAATGATGTATTTATTACATTATCATACTGTATATGATTGCAACTCCACACAAACTATATATGCACACATTTATGTGCATATATGCATTCATCTATATATTAGGTTATAATATATGTATAAAAATGAGAAGGACAACATTGAATAAATATATTTATTTGCTATATTAATTTGCTACTGATGGGATTATGTGCAGTATTTTTTAATTAAGATTTTCTTTTCTTAACACTTAAAAGTGGTTAATTAAATTCAAAAAGGGAACAATAACGAATGCATCATAATATTCCAGCTAATCAGAATGCACATAAAATGTGTCATACTGAAGAACTGAAGCAAACATGCTCAATCATCTAAAATACTTAAAAATCAAACTAACTTATCTCTATCAGAACACCCAACAAATTTATACTCTGATTTGTCTCTGGAGAAGGACACAAGGTAGTTGCAGAAACGGAGTGGGAGGGAGGTCTTCCATTGTACACAATGTTGGCGCCTTTTGGATTATAAATCCATGTAAGTGCATTGCCAACAAACGATAAAGACAGAAAAGAAAATGTATACTCTTCTTCCTTGCCTTACTGGTGAAGTAGAATTAGCATGATTCTTGAGGTTTTTTAAAAATCTTTTAAGAATACTCCACCTCTATTTCATATAAATCATTTGTAAAACAAATGTTTTTAAGTAACTTCCTATGCAATTTAACACCACATATATATATCACTTAAAAGGCAACAGCTTTTTACGGGTATTGTGGAACATTCAAAAAAGTATAAAATGTGATCTCTGGCTTTGGAGAACCTACTTTTTATTGGATGATAGAACACATGAAGAAGTATAAATAATAAGGCAAGCTCAAAGTTGTCCACTTGGAATTATTACTGTAATTCCTAGCACAGGCTGAAAGAAGCAATTCAAACAGACAAATATCAGAGTGGGCTAGAGTACACAGATAGAGGAGATTTTATGCAATGTTTGTGTTAGTTAGGTCATGCTGAGCTGCAGTAACAAATCCCTCCTAATAATTCAATGACCTAAAGAACAGTGTATATATCGCTTATACATGCAGTCAAGGGTGGGCTTTGGGTTCGTTGAGTGACTCTTTTCCATGATCAGAAAAGCACTCAGACTGACAATTGCATTGCCTCTTCCAATGTGTCGTTCAGGGCATCAGCCAGTGTTAGGAAAAAGAGAAGCATGTGTACATTTGTATGTGGGTCCACTCCTCAAAGTGTACACATGCCTTCTTTTCATACTCCATTAACTGCAGCTCAGCATGAAGGCCACACCTCACTATGTGAGAGGCGGGGCCAGTCACATACTTGCCCCTTCCATTGCAATGTGAGAAGTGAAATGCATTTTGATGGGCAGTGAGAGTGTCTATCACAGATCAGATACGGAGCATCCATGATATGGAGGATTAAAGACCAGAAAAAATGGCTTTACCCGGGCAGGAAGAACGATAAGTAAAACTGGGCTATTAAACCTCATCAGGCCTCTATTTCTTAAGCTGATAAAAAAGCTCGTTCTAGGTGATTCCTAAAATTGTTTCTATCTTTTAAATCTCGGTGGTTCTGGAAGCTAACATTCATCAGGTATTGTGTTCAGCTGGAGCAAGGTGTTCATGTTTGGAAATGGTGCAAGATAACTCTTACATTATGTGGGTAGAGTGAGTCTCGAACAATCACTGGACTGCACCGGAGATTTAAAAAAAAATGATGTGACAAATATTGACCAAGTATCTACCTTTGGTGTTTAATTTTATGTGTCAACTTTATGGGATAAGAGATACATAGCTAGTAATGCATTATTTCTGGGTGGATCTGTGAGGGTGTTTCTTGAAGAGATTAGCATTTGAATCAATAGACTAGGAAGATCCACCCTCAACAATAGGACATCACCATGGATACATTGAGGGCCTGGATAGAACACAAAGGCTAAGGAATGGCAAATAGGCTCTCTCAATTTCTCCTTGAGCTGGGACATCCACATTTTCCTGCCCTTGGATATCAGAGCTCCTATTTCTCCGGCCTTTGGCCTTGGCCTAAATTACACCACCAGCTCTCCCAGTTGATATGCTTGCAGATAGCATATCATGAGGTTTCTTGGCTTCCATAATACTGTGACCCAATTTCCACAATAAATCTCCTTATATGTTTATATATTAATACATTGTATTGGCTCTGTTTTTCTGGAGAACCCTGACTAACATACTATCACATACAGGGCACTCTACGAAGTATTGTGGAGGACACACAGAAGTAAACTCAGTCTTCTAGAGAATAGATAATGTACTGCAGATGTTCCTTAACCTATGATCATCATAAATTGAAAATAGAGTAAGTTTAAATGCATTTAATACTCCCAACCCACTGATCATCATAGCTTAGCCTAGTCTACCTTAAACATGCTCAGAATACTTACCATAGCCTACAGTTGGGCAAGATCATCTAACACAAAGCCTATTTTATAGTGAAGAGTTGAGTATTTATTGACTATCATACTGAAAGTGAAAAATGGAATGGTTGCATGGGTACTCAAAGTACAATTTCTACTGAGTGTGTATCACTTTCCCACACCGTCGTAAAAGTGGAGAAATCAGATGGAATCATTGTAAGTAGAGACTGTTTGCATTTATGCGACAGCTGAGTTGGATGAAGGAAGGGAAAGATTAAAAATCAAACAGAATGAGCTATATTTTCAGAGTTCCAGATCTCGAAATACAGGATAAGAGATTGGGGTGAATATTAAATGATTTTGAATATTTTGGGGGGATATTTTTCTCAAGGAAAAAAAAATCTCAAATAGGAGCTTGTTTTCCTGTGATTTGTCTTTTGCAATTGACAATATTAATTACCACTTAATTAAAGTTCTGATTAATTAATTTTGGGTTAACTATAGTTTTACTGCAAGTAAAAATGCATCACTTCATCATCCTTTATTTTACAGGCTAGTTAATTTAAGATTCTTTATAAGGTAAAAATCAGACCTTGAGGCAATCAAGGTATTCCACATAATTTACTAGTTTCTATGAAAAAATATTCTCAGGTTCTATAATCACTTGAAAACTTTGCCAAATGTAGTGTCCTAATGCCATAAATTCTTAACCAGTCACATCTTTAATGTATTCTAGGACTCTTTGGATGTAACAGCTCTATCCTGACTTTATTTTTCTATAGTTTTAATTTTTAAAAGGGTAGGGTTTGTGGAATTCATAGATAAATTACTGTACTGAATATTTTGGAGGAAGAGCATTTCCACATTTTCCTGTTTAGTTTTGGTTTGGGGCCATTATTTTTGTTGTCTCAAATACCTGCTTCAATTTACCTTTCTTATGTAACACAAGACCTGGGACTAGGAGACAGGAGAAATGCATTTCAGTGGGTTTGCCCCTTACTCCTGGGGACATCTTTGCTCTCATGAAGTCTTGGGTTTACTGGTCTGTCAAAAGAGGGGAATGGAGAAGATAATGTAGGTTGCACTCTCTTTGAAATGCTGTTGTATAAGCTGAAATGCTGACCACTTTTCTTTATTTGATTATAAGTCTGCTTATGTAACTTTAAACTTTAAAAAGTTCTCTTCTTTTAATTTTTGAACAATTTCTGATTGGGTGCAAAATTAGCTTACATGAATGTCCTTTTCCTCAACTGCAGTAGTAAAAGGCAAAAATGGTTCTCTAGAAATGTGCATATTTGCTTGTTAAACTGGGGTCTGATTTATACTCCGCCAAGTACCAATACTGACAATTATGTAGGCTTTGAAAGGAAATTATGACTTAGAAATATATGTGGCATATGTTCTATCCCAATTTAAAAGTGTGCTTATGGAAAACTTTAAAAAAAAATTCTACAAACCCTACTAAAATCTAAGAGTTACACAAATCAATTTACAGGGTTTTTTTTCCTTTGCATAAAAGTAATGTTCATATCTCTCAACTTCTGAACAGTAGATAGTTTTACATCTCATTTCATGTTGTAATAATGATAATAACAGCCATAATGGCAGCTCACATTTATGGAGTTCTCACTGGATCCCAGGCTATGTACCAAATACTTTATGTGAATTATCCTTTTACTCTATAATCTCCACAGCCAGGCTACCTCATTTATTATGTATGTAAGGAAAACATTAATGCTCAATTGGCATTAAACACACTAAACACACGCACACACACAGAACAAACCCTTGTGAGGCAAAGAATCAAGGAGAACAGTCTAAAAAATAACCATCCTGAAGTCATGTGACAGATCTAGCAAATTCTTTTTATTTACATAGAAATGTGTACACATACTTTTTTCTCTGTACACAGAAAATTCTAAGTTTATATACATATACGGTTCCCACATATTTTACAATAAATATTTTACTCTTGTTTCTAGATGAAAATAAAAGGATGTCTCAAAATATTACTCACCAATCACAAAGTTACAAAAGCACCTGATGAACTCAGAGCAAACACATCAAGCCTGCACTACCACACACTAAGCTTAGTACAATTTTTACAAAAGACAAGATTGAACACTGTGCAGGTATTACCAGTAAAAAAAAAAAAAAGAATGGAGATGTAAAATAGAGAATAGAGCTATTGGCTTTTGAACAGTGTGGTATGAGTATTTTTGTTGCTCAGGACTTAACTTCCTTTAGTCCTCAATTTAATGTTTTACTTTAGTTGATATTTTACAGACAAGACAGGGGAAAGAAGTTAACATCTATTGTAAAAAAAGTGACCATTCCACAAGTTCCAGAAGCCTTTCTCCTGGCCAACCAGACCCTCTTTGTGCTAATTCTGTGATCATCTGTTCCACCATGCAGGACTGCTGTTCACCCCTCCCGGAAGATGAGAAGGGCACGGATTGTGAAGTGACATTAATTTGGAAGTAATCTCAAAAGCCTGGCAAGGCAGGTAGCTTGGTTGTCAGAACTCAATAATTAGAAATGTTCACATATAACTCTTAATTTCCACAGAGAGTTTGATTTTTCATTCAATAATTAACAAAATTCAAGACCTTAAGCTGGAGGTTTGAAACAATAAGTTCATAACCCTGGAATTTCCTCCCTCCACTTCCAATTTTTTTTGCCCATTCTAGCCCAGGAAAGAATTTCAGAGTTACTCTACACACGTTATAAAATCACACTGTCAAATGACTGGGATTAGGTTCTAAACTATAGGGTGGATACAAATTTTACATCATTTCTGATAATCTCCCAGCATACAATTTGGCAAGTGTCTAAAAATATCCCGATCTCCATTGTTGTTAAACTGACTCATACACAGATTTGTTTCTCCAATGCACCGGGGTACTATGACTCAGATGAGTTATAAAGATGGTGGCCAACACAGCGCTAAGTGCTTAAATCACATTCCACTCAACTCTAGCTCGGATGGTAATATACCCGGTTCCATGGTGACACTGAAACTTCACACACACGTTTTGAAACAAATTTCACCCTTTCATCTCTCCTATCAATAACAACACACATGTGGGAGGAAAGACAGTAATAAAAAAGACTCCAACATCAGAAACAATTCATCTGTCAAATACAATCTTCTCAGTTCCTTGACTGGATCTGCTTTGTTTAGTGTAATCTTCCAAAATATTTTTCAAAGGCAGGCTCATTTCAAGAGCAATGTTTACCACATGCATACTCCAGTTCCTTCTTGTCACACTTGGCTACCACTGATGTTTCTTCTAGAGCAACAGTAATATTTCTAGAAGTTAACCACCTTACATGAAAGTGACAGTTTCATAAACAGTTTGACTCTTTAGATAAAAGGACTTATGATCAAAACAAACACACTTCACATTTAAAGAGGTTTCTTTTTCTTTTCTTTTTTTTTTTGAAATTTGAAAACCTGATAGGGAACTATACTGCCAGAAACAAAAGGGATTCTTTACCATGAAGAGCTGGGCTTGTTTCTTGGTCATTATAATTAAATATATACATATATATATATCTCCATCCCTCATTTCTGTCACTGTGTAAAGATCAGCCGGAAGATAAGTATGGGGTCTCACTATGGTAGTTGTAGTCAGGACAGACCTTTTGCACAAGTTTATAATCGACACTGTAAAAGGCGATGTAAATGCAAATGACCTTGAAGGGCTTGGAGCACAACCAAGACACGTGGCTCTGAGTCTGCTCCTGGTAGCAGATCTTAGACGGGTCAAAGTTGCACAGGGCAGTCTTCTTTGCCCGATCTGTTTTTTCGTACTCAATGCGACAGTTGAAGGATTTGGATTCCTTGGTCTCCAAGGTAGACTGGGGGGAGACTTCAAATTCCACCACCTTGGAAGGGGGTACCAAGCTCACTGAAACATTGCCCAGACCCGTTGAATTATGTCGGAAATAAACACTGAAGGTTCCATTTCCGTGGTCGACAATTTTCCCTGTGATGAGGAGGTTGAGTTTGACAGTTTTAATGTTGGAATGGAAGTCACCCCATCCAAACATTTTCTTAAACTTCCCCGTTTTCACGATTGGCCGCCGTTTAGTTCTTGTCAGAGGCTCCTGAACCTCCGTGATGTTGGCCAGCCAATCCCAAAAGCTGTCCATGGTGTCTGCAGCATATGCCATGGGACCCGGCTTGGGCACTGGAGACTGCTTAACAAACAGGCGCAGAGGACTGATGATCCGTGAGTGCACCACGTTGCCCACCAGTGTCCCTGGAGCATCTTTGTCTTCCCAATCCAGCCCCTCCGTCGCATGCACCACTTCTTTACCATCACAGAATAGCTGTTTGGAGAGAAGAAAGAGAAGCAAACTTTAGGGTAGGCTTCGAGCATGCACACAGACCGAAGTTAAAGCACAAGGGAAATTCATTCAATATTATTTAGATTCTCGCTAAATAGCGTTTCACACACACAGCTGAGCTCAACAGTGTAACAAGATAGAGCATTTAATTTAAATGATGCAAAAGTGCGAGTATAAAAATTAAACTGGTGAGATTAAGAACAAAGTATTTCATTGTAATGGTCTGATGTGTTTTTAGTGGCTCTTTCCTAGTCTTTGCAATTCTATTTTTCAGATTGGGAGAAGTAGTATATTCTGGACTTTCGTTTGATAAAACCATTAAATTTGTTAAAGTCTTTTCTTTCAGGTAGAAGATAACTCTAGAATGCTGAAGGTTTCTACCAAGAAGCTAGAAACCATCTGACTTTGATATTAATAGTTCTCTTAAATGTAATTGGAAATATTAAGGGTATTGTAATGTTCAAAGGCTCATGACATATAATTTCCTAACTTTTGATATAATTCCATCTCAAATTCTGTAACAAAAAGGCATGTGATTAGTAAGTAGGAAGTTCTACAAAAAGTTTTAGTTGACAAAATATAAGTACAAATTTAGTTGCCTTTATAAAAATAGAAATAATGTGGAAAAGTATATTTTGAATTAATTAATAGGCTTTATATGACTTAATAAATTTTATTACAACTGAATTATATCCTGAAAGATAGAATTGCTAAGAAAATGTTATGTGCATGTGTTTATGGGTTCCACAGTATTTTGGTTCTGATCAAAGCCACTAAAACGTAAGACTTTATTGCATTTGGTTTTCCTTTTTATTCTTTTTATAATATGAGACTTCCCATGATTTCTAAAAATTATTTAGTTAAGTCAATATGGATGTTGAGAGACAGAATCATTATATATGAAACTGTTGCCTGGAGTGAATATTTATGGATGAGTTATAAGGTCTGGAAAATAGAGGTTTCTAGTGGGAACACAGATAGCCTCTTATCTCTAATGGCACAAACCACTCCTGTAACGATTCTACGGGAAACTGTCAGCATGATGAAAAGGATGGGGAGAGAAGAGAAGCTATGTTTATGTGCTGTTTCTCCACCATTCAAACTTGGCAAAGCATTTGGTAAAACTAGCCTCAAATTGGTCCAAAGATTATTGCTTTTAATCCAGTTTTGAAAAAGAAAAAGACATAACCTGGATGATAAATATTACGTTCAACTCTATGGTATAGTTTGATAACATGAAGTCATCTTTTGTATGTTCTTAAATGTTTATAAGTTTAAGTCCTAACAGAGCTTTTTGAAGCTTCACTTATATCTAGCTCCAAAATCACTTTAGAGTAGGAATCCAAGGACTCAAAATGTGAGTAGGGTTTTTTTTTTTGTTTTGTTTTGTTTTTGGTGAGGGTTACCTAATATACTTCTTTCTTTGATTAATTTCTTGAAGGCTTTTCTCCCTCATTTTTGGAGTTTTTAAAAATTATTTTCTCTTCACTTAAATTATTGAGGTTAGTAGAAGGGCAAATTGATAAGATGCACATTCTTTCTTTTTTGAGAACTTAAATCTATATTACCTCTTTTTAGGGGCTTATACATCCTAAATTGATACTTCTTTCCTGGGATATTCACCAGGGTGAGAGGGATCATTACTCTGGATTTCTGGCTCAAAATATTTCTGATACTAACTACAGTTTTCTGATTTTGAACACTCTTAATGATAAGGCACACAAACTTCATTCTAATCAACTGGTCACAGCCCATGGAATTCAGTACCCTGCCCCCCACTTCTGACTTCAGTCTCCTTAGAGTGGAGGCTTAGTGGTCCAAGGGATGTGTCCTAGCCTCTCTTCAGAGAGAGGGCCAAGGACACAGGAGCAGAAAAGGAGCCTCTTGCTTATGAAGGTGCAATTTCTCTTCTCTGGGATCATGATTCTTGTTGCCCCCAGTCTATTACCTAGTTTTCACCTGTTTCCAGGATTTCATGGATTCACCTTGCTTGGCAAATGCTGAGATACACCTACCATTTGCTGAACATCTGGTGTAAAAGAAATGCTTCCTTTTTTCCCTATCCTCTACTGCTTGATCCCAGACAGCTCACTCCCACTTTCCTTTCTCTGTTTCATGGGGTATATTCCTTCTGACATTTTTCTCTTTAAACTTGATTTTAAAAAAAAATTTTGATCCTTACGTTTATATGCTATACTACCAATAAGTTTTTTATTGGCAGAACTAAAATACATTTTCCATGCAAAAATGTTTTTCTATCCCAAGCACAGAGACAGTCTCTCCTACCAGCAGCAACATGCTTTTTTTTTGTTGTTTCTTGAGATGTTTGTTTTACATCACACATTTTCCTGGATTTTTTTTCTAACTGAATCATTATCCTTGATTTAGCACTTTGACCAATTTTCTCCTCACTTTTTCATTATTGAAAAACTATAAACATTGAGCTCATCATTTAGTTTTGCAATCATACAGCGTCTTAGCTGATCATGGTGCACTGCAGAATACATGACAGACACCAACACCTTATGAGGTTCTTCTCTTATCTCTAGGACTTCTGTTGTGATAGTGCTGAGATTGCTCAATAATAATAATAAATGCCCATTTACTGAGACTTTTTAAACATCCGAAGATTTTCCTGGTAGGAATTTATGTTGTAACAGAAGTTGACTCAAACATATGTAACTCACCTAATAAATAAGAGCGTAAAAATAAAGCTAAGCTTTTCAAATAGATAATTTAGGTGTGATTATTTGCTTTTACAAAGGTCCTTTAAATCTTCAGAAAATATTTTCTATATGAGAATGTAAATTGGAATTTGTGTTCTAAAAAATTCCTTCTAACACACTACTCTTCATGTCTAAACCTGTTCAAAGAGCCCTTGATTTTGAGATTGGTCTATATAAAAATATCAAAATTTAGCTAATAGTACCGATCTATATTGTTTCTCTCTTCCAGTGACAATACTCACTGGCGGTACCTTAGACAAAAAGTACATATATATATATATTTATACATAACATTTGTATTATATAAATATATGTGAAATAATATGTATGAAATATTTCATACATTTATATAATACAGTTGTTATGTATAAGTATATATGAAAGCATATATATTTTTATATTTTAAAAAATTTCATTGCTTTTCTTAGACCATCATATTTCTAATTTGTTTTGACAACATTAACCAAATTGGGAAATTGTGTACAACATATCTGTTTATTGCTTTAAAGTACATGGACAGTTCTCACCAGTGCTGATTTCTAAATCTAAGCCCAAATCTCAAAAAGTTATCAGATAACGATGTACTGGTAGAAGAGTATAATTAAAAGGGCAAATATGTTTCTCTGTGTCTTTAATAAGCTGACAATTGCATATCCTCTCCCAACTTTTTCTCCCTTTAGTGTAACTTTCTCAGCCTTCCTCTTGTTATAAATCATCACTATATAACATCACTGCTGAGAGGGCAACCTCTTCAGTACCAGGTCTACATAGATGGTTGTATAACTCGAGTCCCCAAGGCTCATGCTTAACCTCAAAAAGCCTAATCAGGGAAGACTGGGGGCTGATGAGCCACTCCTGCCCTGCCTCCCACCCCACCCATCCATATATTCCCAATAGGGAAACAGCATGTTATGGTGGAAAGGGCATAGCATTTAGTACCTGATGACATCATCACTTCTTGCTTAAGTGTATGACCTGAACCCCAGTTTTCTCACCTATATCACTTTTGCTGGCTAGTTGTAAGGACCAACTGAAAGAATGGATGGAAATTACTGAGCCTAATCCTTGGCAAAAAGCGTTCAATGACTGATGGCTCCTCCATGGTCCAATGGATAGTCTCGTGCTTTCTACTCAGAAGTGTCTCCAAAGGGTTGTATGAAATTCCCAAGCCTCCAGGAAACTGATTAATGGTTAATTGATCAACTTGTTCAGTGCCATGTGATAAATTAATGACCAAGTAGAAATCAACCCTCTCAACCCCAGAACATCAATCAAATATTTATCTCTTCCCAGTCTCAGTGGCATCTAAATAACCTCAGGATCACAGGCACAGGTGAGCTCTCTTTGCCAACAAAATGTGTTTGTGGATCTTTGATTCCAACCTACCACATGAGTCAGCAAAGGGAGCTGAGTGTATAAAGTGTCTGGAAGGGGCCCTCATTCCTGAACAGATAACTTCTGTGATACAACATGCTGGGAGACGACTGTAGGTGGTTCTGAACCTGTTGGCAAACCACTCTGTCCAAGGCAAAATTGTTAGATGTTATCTATAAAATACATGGCTGTATCCCCCTGGTTACTTTGGTACTTGCTGGGGCTCTTCATGCTAATTTCAGAATCACTGCTGTCTTTTGTCCCATCATATTACAATAGCAATGCAAAAAACATTTAACCTCAAGCACAAAATGGAGCTTTAAAAAGGGGAAGAAAGAGGAATTGCTGTGTTTTATCTGTTTGAACATTCCCTGATTTCAACACATTTATCAAAGCTTAAGTAATTTATGTCTTGGCAGGGTGTATCAATTTCACAAAGCACACACATTAGCTAGATACAATGATATCATATTAGCTTTTTTCTGCATCTTACAGAAGAGCTCAAAAAGATTAATAAAAGCTCAAACCTTCATCAATTAAATGGAACAGGTGGAAGGAAGGGAGTAGAGGAATAAGACTGTATTTCATTCCAGTTCTTTTGTTTTGTAGGGAGGGGGAAAGCTGACAGGTTCAAATCATTCATCATAGCAAGCTAAAGTTGAATTTCACTGATAATTAAATGCATTCTTTCCCAGGAGGCAGAGAAGCTGCAATGAATTTTATAGTAGCAGATGTGAGAACTGTCACGAATTATGGAAATAATTTATAAACTAAAAAGCATCTTCCTCTGCAAACATTGTATCAGAAGAGTCTTTTCTTTCAGCTATATCTGCTATGTATTTTTTAATAAACATTTTATTTTAGAATAATTTTAGTTTACAG